ACAAAGACATGGCTGAGCTAACGTGGCTACTACGGTCTGTCAGTTTGACAGAAAGAACTCCATTTCACTCATTGCCCCCCCGCCATGCTGCTGGGTTTACAGCAGAGAGGAAGAAGAAGAAGAAGAATCCTTGTTTGCCCGCTGAGAGATTTGCCCACCACCACCTTACGACGGCCGACTGAATTTCAACCATGTTTGATTTTCTCCTGACCTATGATTCCTGATGGGGGGGGGTCGTTAGAGGCTGATCGCCCCTCGTTACCCCCTGGTCACTACACCACGCACCATCAGGCTGAAAGTCAGCAAGATCGGAAAAATCACGCACAACTGGAGAATCGGCTTGAAAAGGGCAAAGAATCGTAGAGTGTACGCCCGACTTTACAGGTTCTGAGGTTTTGAGAGTTTTCCTGAAACCATTTAGACATTTTAGTGAAGGGAGGTTATATGTTTTTGCCATTGGACACCATATCAATGGGAACTATTGTCCACACAGACCCTCCCTGTGACTGAGCCAGGAGGTCACTCCTCTTTGTGACTCCGTTTCCATGTTAATAAACCGACAGCCCCGCTGGGCTAGAATGGCATATTCTGTAGTCCGTTTATTAGAGGCAGACTATAACAGACACCACATATGGCTGAACAAAGCAGGTTAGCTCTTTTCCTTTGCTTTATGCTAACATTCTGAATTATATAATTCAATGCAACTTTTAAACAAAATCTCTGAAATGATAGAAATAGATTTACAGTCTAATTTCTCTTGATCAACAGCAGCTTCACAATCTAAACAGTTTCCTTAAACCTTAAATCTGTAGTTCAGGTTAGATCTGGTTCAGATGGAAACGTTTCCCCCTCCTGCAGATACGTAACCAGAGGAGGGAGGAAGAATAACACCTTTGACTGGAAGTAATAACTTATGACAGACTAAGAATAACATGACTTTTTAATGATGAATCAGTAATAAATACGGATCCTTTGCCCCCCCCCAGTCCGCCCAACCATAAAACAGTAAATCATCTTGATGTGCAGCAGATGAGCGACTCCCCAGAGGAGGTTTCCTGTTGCAGCTCCAGGGATGTTTACGTTTTGCCTAAAGCTGGAAAAATGCGTAACTTTTCCTCTTATTCACCTCCTAGCAACTCTTCACCTCTCTCACGGTGATGAAATCATCCCATTCTTCTCAGCTCAGTTGCAGGTTGTGTTTCATAAAAGATCCAGGTCCATTCAGGCCCCGCCTTGAATTCCCAGCATGCCTAGCAGCAGCAGGATCTTCAGTTGCGTTTGTCCTGCAGCCGCAACAGGAAGTAGGTGGACGCCCTGCCTGTTGCTGATCATGTTTCGGGCGTCCTGCAGTGCGCTGACCGCGGCTCTACTGGAGTTCAGGTCTCCACTGGAGATCAGGTCAAACACACATGCGTGATAGTAGATGTCTTGAGTAGGAAGGAGCGCAGCACAATGAGCCTCCGCTCTAATAGCGGCTGCTGCTAGAGAATCCAGCGCTGGGGGGTGGAGGGTGTTCACCCTCTGGGAGGCGGGGCAGCCCCACATGCAGAGCTGCAGGTCGTGATCTGGGTCAAAGGCCTCTACGACGCCGCGGGGCGAGCGGATCGACAGGCTGAGTGAACGGCCACTCTGTCGGACCACCATCAGCGTACCAATGTAAGCTGCTTGGATCTCGGCGTGCCACCCGGGACTGTCGGTTCTCACCGTCAGGATGCGGACACCGCGGCGCTCAGCGCTCCACACTGAGCCGTCTGCGAAAGCAGCGGGAACGTTGTCCAGCTCTGCCTGGTACAGCTGCTGGTCGGTGCACTGACGCCAGCTCTTAAAGATGACGGTAATCTGCATGGAGACAGAACCACAGAGGAACCAGATGAATCATGGATGGAAGAGACAGAAATAAAACAAACTCAGTCAGAATTCAATCTTTAGTTTGGCTGACCTTACTGTCCAGGTGCTTCTCTGTAAAGAATGATTTTGTTCCTGTTCCTGGATTGATGACATTAGTCTGTCTTGCTATCAACACCACATCTCTGCTCAACAACCAGAGACTCACTAGCAGGCAGCCTAATGAATAGAGACCATAAAACACGCTAAACCAACCACAGCTAACTGCTTCTAATGCTAATGCTACATCTACATGAATGTGCTACACATGGGTCACATGATTATGCTTGACATCAAGGATGGATGGATGGATGATGGATGGATGGATGGATGGATGGAT